TGTCACTAACTTGATGCGTTTAAAATAACGGCGGCCACTTTTTACTGGTAACATCAGACATTTGGCATTATCAGGACCCACACATATTCCCCCATTGCATTATTATACATTATATTATTCAACATTATATATAGTGGTTTAATGTAGTACTGACACTAAAACTCCAGTATTTAAACTCCAAATTATTCCAGTAGGGGTGTAACGCGATAGCCTGGCTCCGCCCTCCTACGCACTTCCGCTCAATTTTATTTTCCTTCAGTACTGCGTCTGGGATTGTGCTGTAGACTTTGGTTTCCAGAAATAATTTTTTTACCGGTCCAATCAGCGAACAGAGGGAGTGGCTGAGAACGATGACGTTGATGTAGCGCGTCAGTTTGAGTTGGAGTTCAGTAATGGCAGCGGAGAAAAACGTGAGAAAATCTATTCGGTCCGTTGTTGCAAAACTGCCGAATATCCAGAAGTTAAAGCCGGAGCAAGATCAATGTTTGCTAAGTGTTGTTGGTGGCCATGATGTTGTGGCCCTCCTCCCCACGGGGTTCGGGAAAAGTTTAATTTTCCAGCTCACTCCGCTAGTGGTGAATGAGTTAGCTAAGGCGAACGATAGGATGCAAAGCCGATAGTTGTTGTCGTCTCCTCTTGTTGCACTAATGGAGGACCAAGTGAGGGAGGCAGAAAGGTTAGGAGTTGGTGCTGGGCAGCTCGGCGTGCACGATGATCACTGTACAGCATTTGCGGCAGATCCGAAACGACCGCAGCGGCGTATTGTTAATGATTACACCCAGCTTCGACAGTTGACTGAATACATCACTGTCCTTAGTGTCAAATATACATTTAGAATTTAGAATTGTTCCTTGAACTCTTAAATTCGATGAACAAAACATGCAGCTCTCGTTGACAGACATCTTATTCTAAACATAATCCTCTGATCATTCGGACTTGTTTTTTTTATTGCTTAAAACAATACACAAGTAATAACAGAAAACATAATACAAAAACAAACAAAAAATAATAATAAAAACAAAACAAAAATAAAACAGTAGGGGGATAATATAAAATAAACATGAACAAGTTAAGAGAATTACATGACACTGAAAAAAGGAAAATAATTACAAACAGATAATGTTTTTAAGGCTTTTTTTGTTCTCAGACAACTTAATTGAAAAGAGGTATTTTTAAAATTCTTTCACAAATATAAGAAAGAGAGGTTTAGCATTTAGATATTTAGATTTATGAATATGGAATTCGGACTTGTTGTTTCCAGCCGGTTTCGGCGCATGACATACGTCACGACCACACGTTAGCGATTGGCTATGGCAGATCCTGAGTGACGCTGGGCAGATCCAATAGTTTTGAACTTTAACAGAGAACCCGCCTACAAGGAAGTAAACGTTTCTCAATGGAGCGAGGCCAGACTCTCTGTACAAATGAAATGTACGAGAGTCTGGTAGAACCAGGCTAGTAACGCGATACCCTCATGTCATGATTCGATAAGTATTAAGTATTATTGCGATACTCCAAGACATATGATAAAAGGTTAAGAAAAAATTTACTGCTAAATTTGGTGTTACATTGTGTGTGTAAATGAATCGGCTTGGACTTGGTGCTGGAAACCCAAAGCAGAATAACAATATTCATGATTCATGAAGCTGAAATGCAGAATTATTTTAGACTAATTTGCTTACACTCTTTCACAGACTAGATATATTTAAAATAATGTAGGCCACGTTTTACATCACACATTTGGCATTGTCAGGACCCACAAATATTCCCCCATTGCATTATTATACATTATATTCAACATTATATATAGTAGTTTAATGCAATACTGACACTAAAACTCTGAAAACTATAAACAACATATATTTTTGTATTGCGATATATTGTCAAACCCCTAGATTCCAGTGAGAAGTAATTCGTCTGTCCACCCAAACGTGATGTTTAATGCACAGTTATGAGAATAGGTCATTTGGACCAATGATATTTCCCGATGGGTGTGTCTCATCACTCAGAAACCCAAGTGACCAATAATAAATTGTTCTGTTTTTGTTGTGGCCACTGATGGCTAGAGCGAAAACCCCTCATGTCTTGCACCTGGATAAAAAATGGTGCGATGATGCAAAGTACAGTCTAAAAAATGCTGGGTTGTTTTAACCCAAATTTGGGTCAAATATGGACCAACCCAAATGTTGGGTTAAAAGTGTAATTAAAAAATTTACAGTTGAAGTTGGGTTAAAATTTTCAATTACATTTTCAACCCAACATTTGGGTTGGTCCATATTTGACCCAAATTTGGGTTAAAACAACCCAGCATTGTTTAGAGTGTAGTCTGCGTATTTTTTTACGTATCGCCAGCCAGCAATATTTCTGCGGATATGTTTAGCACTAACTGTAAGCATTCATTTTCAGAAAGCAGTCACTGTTTGTTTGTCCGATTAAATCTTTTTGATTGGTAAAAAAATATTATTTTTATTTGTTTGGTGATTTTGATGTTTCATTGCTATTTATTTTGCTATGTGTATATACATGTATGCATATATGTGTGTGTGTATGTGTATATATATATATACACACACACACACCCCTGCAGTGTTCAATTAAAGGGGAGATATTTTAGTTATAACATTTAGTGTTAGTTCATGTTCTATAGCTCTCTGGGCAAGCGTTATTATTATTTATGTGAAGTAGTGAACTTTTGCTGAGTGCCTGCTGAACTTTGGTAGCTACTGTATTCATTGTTTTAGCTGAATAATATTTACCATGGGCTTTTCTCAGCTCTCTGGGAACAAAGCGTGTATTGATCCCGAAATGAACCGACACAGCAGTCTTTATTGTTAGATCTTTATCTATTAAAAATGGAAAAGCTTCGATTCAGCACATTCCCTGGCATCTACTTATGATTATACCCCTATTTATTGATTGTTTTCCTGAAAACGGTCGCATTCTTAGGAAACTGTGACCGTGAGGAGCAGAAATATGATTTATTATGGATGGAAGAGGTTGATATCCCCCCCCCCCAGCCTGTGTTAAACCCTGTAAAAATAAAGATCCCGAGTCCAAGAGATCATGAAGTTCCTGAAATTTCATCACCGGAGTGTTGCAGCTGGCTGGTATTATGTGATATTTGCACAGTAAACCCGAACACATGACAGCTTTGGACGGAGATTCTTCGATTTTTCCCTGATAGCGGCGCGCTGTTTACACAGACTCGTAAACCTCAAGGCTATAGGGAGCATTGGGAGCCGCCGCGTACAGTGCATCATGGGAAGGGTTCTGGGATCTGCCTCAAGAAGTATTCTAATGTGATTTGAGCACCTTAACAATAAATAAAGCGCTAAACCCACGATGAGCCCTAACCTTTTAGTGTGCTAACACGTTTAAATAGCAGAGCTGTTTGGTTGACGCCATCTCTTCTCGGTCTGTGTTCTGATCTTATTATGCATGTTACAATGCTGCTTTATTTTAACACCATTACAGCGGATTATAATCAATTGATAATTAGAGGTTAGGCAAATCATGTGACTATTGCTCATCATGATGCTTAAGGTTAGGTTTTTCAAAAATGCCACCCAGAAGTTACTCTCTCTAGCAACAACTTGGCATCTTCCTTGAGCAAATGCAAACTTTATTTTTAGCTCGTTTATAATTTGCATTTGCATTTTTGGCTGAATGTGCAACACAAACAGCAGCACTGTTGGAAATGTTCTGTGGCATTTCAGCAGCTCTCTCTGCGAGGCTGAAGTGTAAAGCGTGCTCTCTCGTGTCTGCTAGGTAACATGCTGCCAGTGTTTTGTGTGGTGGAGCACTACGAGAGCCCCATCGAGTTTGACAGTAAAGAGGAGCATGCTGAGTTCGTTCTGGTGAGGAAGGACATGCTCTTCAACCAGCTGATCGAGATGGCCCTGCTCTCCCTGGGCTACTCGCACAGTTCGGCTGCACAGGCTAAAGGTACGGCATGCTTTCACACATTCACTCCACCGATTTCTCCAGAACATGCACGTGATTTTTTTTTCCCCTCATGCATTTAGATCAGAACCGTGAGTCATCGAATGCCGGTGCAGATGCTCGGATATTTTTGGAGGCTAAACAGAGATATTTCTGGAGTGTTTTGTTGGCTACGTTCTGGGTTTTGCTCGGGCTGACCTGATGTCGAGGTCAGGGGGGTTGTGGGTAGAGGAACACACAGGTGCACCTCCTGCTCCCTGTAATCACACTTTTCTCAATGGGAACGAGTGTGGAGGTGGGCCTGCGGTTACTAATTGCTCGCTTTATGGAGTTGGGGGCTATTTTAAGAGCTGGAGCCTTCAGCCTGTAATTTATTGCAGGCTGTCCATCATCATTTCTTTTTTCGTTGGATCTTCTGGATCTTGTTTTTTTTTTTCATTCAGTGCCAGTCGAAAGACAACATGTGGTTGAGAATTTATTAATTGTTTTTTTTTAAAGGGTGAAAGCCTTTCTTTAACCCCATACTAAAAAAGTACCATGGTATTATCATAAAAATAACATTTAGAAAGCACTGTTCTAAAACATGGTGAGAGTTTGGCATTATAACGTTGCTAAGTTTACAACATGATGCTCAGAAGTAGTGTTCAAAATATATATATTCAGCAAGGATGCATTAAATTGATTAAAAGTGGTGCTTTCGGTTTATCAAATAATCCTGATAGAAAGCTTAAGCAGCACAAGTGTTTTCAACATTGATAATAATCATAAATGTTTCTTGAGCATCAAATCATCATATTAGAATGATTTCTGAAGGATCATGTGACACTGAAGACTGGAGTAATGATGCTGAAAATTCAGCTTTGATCACAGGAATAAATTACACTTTTCTATATATTCACTTAGAAAACAGCTCATTTATATTGTAATAATATTTCACACTTTTTACTGAATTTTTAATCAAATAAATGCAGCCTTGGTGAGCAGAAGAGACTCTTTCAAAAACATTTAAACCGCCCCCAAACCTTTGGATGGTATTGTATAATAAAAATAGTATACAAAAATATACCAACATTTCTCTCACTTCACCTTCCGTCTTGTCTAGATTTTTTAATTAATGTTGTTGCAATGTATTATGGGATTGTGTTGTCCACAAAAGATGTATGTGATGCTTACCGCAAAAAGATTGCTTTAAATCCTGCCTGTGTATTGTCAGCTTACTAGGTTTTGAGGTTAAGACATTACTATAATGGTAATAACATGGTATTTTTTTTTTTAAGTGTGTTATGTTGAATATGGTTATTAAATGACACATCAAAGTACCATAATTGCCACATTATTATTTTTTTTATAAAGAACTTAGAGGGCCTATTGTGCTTTTTTGCATGTTCATCTTTCTTTAGTGTGTAATGTTGCTGTTTGAGGATGAAAAATCTTTGAGTTATTCTCTATATCAGTGTTTCTGAACTCCTGAAACGCCTCCATTGTAGTCTTGAGTTTCTAACGGGAACGAACACGTCACAATATTCCTCATTTAAATAATTAATACGCAGAATAAAGGGGCGGGGCCTGGTTGAGTTAGTTAGTAGTGTGTTAAACTGGCGGTTATGGGAAGGGGCGGGACATTTCCCAAACACACTCGAAGCGCCCGACCAATCACAACACACTGCTCCAGCCGACCAATCAGAGCACAGTGTGCTTTCAGAAGGAGGGGCTTCATAGAGACAGGAAGTAAACAGAGCGTTACTGACAGACTGGGAAGAGAGGAGCCGCAACAATGGAGAATATAAGGAGAATAATCAACATTCAAGCAGGAAAACCTGTTCTAGTAGAGCCTGAAAAAAGTGAAAAATGCAGTGTTTTATTCCTGTGTGCTGTCGTGCGAGTGTCTGCCTGTGGTAAATGGTGTTTCCTCACCGCAGGGCTGATTCAGGTGGGCAAGTGGAACCCCGTGCCTCTTTCCTACGTGACGGATGCACCCGACGCCACAGTGGCGGACATGTTGCAGGATGTGTACCATGTGGTCACGCTGAAAATCCAGCTACACAGGTCAGTGTTTCCCATCTACTGTACCCACAACACAAACAGTGCTGTTTTTTTTATTTCCCACAAGCCACTGCTGTGGGCACACACAGACACACCTCTTCCTCTTTCTGTAGACATCCATGTATATCTGTGTGTCTCTGTCTGTCTTGTCTCCAGAGACTCTGTGGCTGTCTCACACTTTAAGGTGTGCCGGATCCGATCGCTCTGTGTGTGTGTGTGTGTGTGTGTGTGTGTGTGTGTCTATATGCAAACATGGATGTGTTAATTGCACATTACAGCAGTACTAACTCTCAACCAATTACTTCAAATAACTATGAAACCATCAGTATTGCGCTTTTTAAAAAAATGCATCCAGCAAGCCTTAATTTAAATTCAAGTATGTGTATTTAAAGGTGTCGTGTGTCATTTTTACACCACTGGCATTACCAAATAGCATTGCAAAAATAATTTTTCCTGTCTGACTTTGGTCAGGCAACAGAAGTCGCTCATGCCACTGGTTAAGTTAAAGTCACCATCTGTCTGTCTGATCATTTAAAACCCGTCATTGTTTTTGCAGTTCCGTTTGGTGACGCTGGTGGCGCGGAAATGACACTCCTCATCCTTAATTTGCATTGCATGCTGGCGTCGAACGTCGGTGTTGCGATATTTACTTGGCAGCTTGCCGTTTATTGCGTCCTATTGAACAAGCATTCATTAATGACACCCTGAATGCAGCTGTGTTTTCTCCCTTGATTTGGTCGTGCATTTTTTTTTTTTTTTTACGTATTTAATGCTCGTCTAAATACTGGATAAAGTATTAAGATGCTGGTTCTTTTTAATGCATCTAGCATCTAAATCTATCTGGAAACACCTTAAATTGTTTCAGCAAGCACATCAGGGCAGGAAGGTAGAAGTAACGTGAAATAATAGTCGCCGCATGCAGCTGATGTATAATTCATGCATCAATACAGCAGATGTGTTGTATAAAGTAATTAACTAATCAGAACAATCAGGAGAGAGAGAGAGAGAGAGAGGGAGGAGAGAGACTCCAGATGCATCTGCTTCATGCGCCAAATGAAATCTGTCTGTCTTAGAGGGACGCTTGCAGCAGAGAAGCAAAGCCCAGTGCTCACTGTCCTCTCTCTCTCTCTCTCTCTCTCTCTCTTTTCACTCTTTCCATCTCTCTTTCTCTTGTTCTATCTCTTCCTGCAGTTGTCCTAAACTGGAAGACCTTCCTCCAGAGCAGTGGACCCACTCTACAGTAAGAAATGCGCTCAAGGAGTTACTCAAAGACATGAACCAGAGCTCTCTGGCAAAAGAATGTCCCTTATCACAGGTGCTGGAGCCTTCCACGTCTAGTTGCCAAGATTGCAAGTGTCCCTTTTCAAATGCCCAGAGTTTGATAGAGTGGAAATGGACAGAATTGCCATAGAAATCCAAATCAATAGCCATTGTCGTGCCCGTAGATTAATGCACTTTATTTTGATGCTGTTGCTAGCCGTTGTGAATGCGAGTATTGTTGGGTAAACAATGGGCGAATCACAATGATCTTGATAATGCATTGCAAGCTGTGAACTGTTATGGGTGAATCTCACGAAACATGTCAACGTGTCATTTTTAACCTTAAAAACTAAAGAAAGAATTGGATTGTGCTTATAGAAAGTTAAGCCTTATTTTTGTTTGCACTGTGTTGCATTATTGCGTTATTTGAATGACAATTAAGCAGCTTAAATTCTATGGACAGGTGTTGAAAATTAGCACATGTGCTATAACACTTTAAACAATGCATCTGGTTCGTCCAATGTTATTGCTATGTCCATAAATTTTTTTTTTTTTTAAATTAGCGCAACGCAAAACGGTCAAATAATTTATACAGCATGGTCGTATTATTTTTGGTCACACTTTAGATTAGGGTCCAATTCTCACTATTAACTAACCATGACTTTTGCCTCAATAAACTGCTTATTATTAGTTAGTAAAGTACAGTAGTCAACATTTGAAGTGGATCTGTTCATCAAAGTTGTCGTAGAACGGGTATTGTTTTATAGGATTAAAGGAATAGTTCTCTTAAAAATGTAAAGTCTGTCATTATTTACTCACCCTCAAGTTGTTTCAAACCTGTATGAGTTTCTTTCTTCCGCTGAACACAAAAGATTATATTTTGAAGAATATCGGTAACCAGACCGTTGATGGACCCATTGACTTCCATAGTATTTTTTTCCTACTATGGAAGTCAATGGGGTCAATCAACTGGCATTAATATGTGCTTTATTAGTACTAATAAACAGCCAATATCCTAGTAATATGCATGATAAGCAACTAGTTAATAGTGAGAATTGGACCCTAATCTAAAGTGTGTCCTTATTTTCTTACCGTTTTTATACTGCTTTTTTTTTTTTTTTATGTACAGTAATGAAAATGTCATCAGAATCACTTTTGAGAAAAATCAGGATTCTTTTAAAAAGCGAGACGTAAAACTTCCAGACTTTTACAGTAATGAGAATTTATATTAAAAAAAATGAAGATCCTAAAAATGGGCTTCGTAAAAAATAAATATTTTTTTTTTACATTTTATGTGGCTGAAATGTAACCTGGACACATTTCCATGAGATTCCCCCTTAAAACTGCTGCTGTTTAAATAAGCAGAGCTACTGTTTAAATGCTTAAGGGAAGACAAGTGTTTCAGCTCGTGTGTGTTGGCACAGTCGTAGTGCATTTCATCTCAGGGAAGCCCGTTCTTTACCTGCAGGTGTGTGTGTGTGTGTGTGTGTGTAAAGAGTCCCAGGGTGCTGTTCAGGCAGCGCAGGGGCTGGGCCGCTCCACATCTCTCTAATCACTCTGTTTACAGTCCATATGTGAGCTATTCCCACTGAGCAGCGGCCCGGCACTTACACTGAATTACAGTCCGCTCACATTTTCTGCTTTCTGCTTTTGTTGTTTCTAGGATGCCTCGTCATGTTAGGCGCGTCTTTGGTTGGTAACCCAGTAGAGGTGACCTTTCTTCTAGGTGAACAGGAAGAGTTGGAGAGATCAGGCCGATTTAAGAACGAACGGCAACTTTTATAGGATTAGTGTTTCCTTGATACTCCAACGGTAATCCCTGCTCTTGAAAAGGTTAATGAATGGAGAATTAGAAGGAGAAGTACGCCGCTTTGGTTAGCAGAAGGGGATTGTGAGTAGTGTTTGTTGCATGTTTCGGTTTCGACACTAGTCGTTCAGTGTCGTCTAACTGTTTGTAGTAGTTGGCTAATCATTCTTAAAGGAAGCTTTATATGAATATGTTGGTTCGAGGGTCTGTCATACACCAACCAGACTTTGATGTGGGATGTTGAGTTTTTAAACGGCCCTTTTCAAAGTTGAAGTACTTTTAATTTGACTTAAATGCGACTCATTGTGCAAGAAGCTAAAACTGAGATGACAATGGCGGAAAAATTATTATGCATGAATGTATGTGCTTTTCCTTGACTTAAAATGTCATGAAATTATTACTGTAAAGCGTCCTTGTGCTATGAAAAGGCGCTTTATTTTAATTTTATAATAATGATGTTGATATTGATATTAATTAAATTGTAGTATTTATTTATTTATTTATTTTGAATTTAGCACAAAAAAAAATAGCATTTTGGATGAATTTAGCAACTTCTCAGGTCAACACACACACAAAAAATTAAGTAAAAGATAATTTAATCCCCTCTTAAGCGGAGCGCTAAATTAAACATAACATTTTTTTAATCATATTGATGTTGTGAATTTTAATGTTCGTATTATTTTTATGTCAGCAGGGATACATTTAGAAACGTCTCTAAGTCAACGCGCTAAAACATTTAAAAGTAAATGTTACGAAAAATAAATTGTATTATAATATTGGTATTATTCCATATATTGATAATGTTTTTAATTTTAGTATTGTTTTTTTGTGGGATAAATTTAGCAACTTCTCAAGAAAGTCCTAATTAAGTATTAGGACTTTTAATTATTATTATAATTTATATATATATTATTATAATTATTAAAAGTTTTATAAAACATGCTAAATTTCACGGACATGTCAAATTTGTGGGGGAAAAATATCTAAAAGCTAAAAAAAAATGGACAGACTCTCCAGTTAACCTCACTAATCGACTAGTTAATTGTTGTGTGATTAATTGACCATCCTGACCTGTGCCTAGTTCATCGTGTGTTTGTCCTAAAGATGATATAAAAAAACATGCTTTTGTTTTCAGCACAATATAATTCGACCGCCGTCAGATCGATTTGTCGCGCGACGCTAAAGAAAGGAGAAAAGTAAATTGCTCCCGCTCATCAGCCGTCTGTCAGCACACGTATGTTTCCCGTGATCAGACTTAACCCCTGTGTCCCCTCAGACGACCCACACAAAAGAGCCCCACCGCCCCGTGGCCCTGAAAGAGCAGCCATCAAAAGCCATCTTTCCAGGTTAGACATGGGCCCTTTCTCACGGAGTGGACGGAAGAGAAGCTGTAATTAAGATGTTTAAAAGACCTCTCCCACACAATGCAGGGACACTGAAAGATGCCATGTATTAAAGAAGGAAGTTTCCCGAGCATTTCTGTGCAACTCTCCCGTGACGGAGAGTCAAATAGATGTTTTATGTGGATAGCGGCGTGACAGACTTCCTGGGCGCTCAGATAAGGCCTCTCGATGGTTATCTTTTAAAGAGGCTTGTCCCATTACCTGTTGATGGCTCCTGGCGCTCGGTGCGCGGAGGTGTTTTTCTGCATGGGTTGTGGTGGCGTACGGGGCTCGGGAGATGTGCGGTGGGAGACGAGTGATTAATGAACGCAGATTCTCACAACATCTGTGTCAACTGTACTCAATACGAGCGTAGATCTCGAACAGATCATTGATGACTCATGAAATCGTGGGTGATTTTGTTCCTCCTCTATTGTTAGTTGCTGAGTTTGTTGGTTTGCTCTCTGGCTGTTGTTTGAGATCAGCGATAAAAGAGGGCTGTGACATTCAAATGTCTCCGGTCTGCATGCATATTCCCCTCTTGCGTTCGGAGAGGGTCTTCTCCTCATCTTGGAGACCGTTATACACTCTTCATTTCTGCGGCAGCATGAGCTTTGGCAGTAAAGGTTAATAGTCCTTCTCATTGTACACAGCGATGTGGTTAACCCTCTTCTGGCTGAACTCTGCACCTGTTCATGAAAGGGGTTTCTATCCTGATGCCGTTGGAGAACCTTTTAAAAGTCCATATAGTGCCATAGTTCTCCTATGACATCATATGGAACTTAAAGAGGTTGTGTTTTCATTTAAGTTCTGAATTCTTTACAATTAAAATGTCCATATTATACCATAAGCAAGCATTTCATATGATGTTGTAGAATAGCACTTTTATAGTCCCCCTGTGGTGAAAGTCCAGCTTTTAATGTTGTTTATATGTGGTGTTTTTAATATGCTTTAAGACAAACCGTGTGTAAGTTCATAAGTCGACAGCATTGCTGAGTATTTTCTGCTTAAAACTGCAGTGAACCAAAGACAGTCTCAAAAACACGGTTTGAAATCGCTGGTGTTTCTGACGTCACAAACGACCTTGTAACCAATCAGATCAACGTGTGATCGTCAACCAGTGGATCTCTGAGTGAGTGAGTGAGTGGAGGCGGGGCTCATTTGCATATTCATAGAATCGTGAATACTAAATGAGGCAAGGGTGTCGAGTTACATTCAAGATATTTTAAGGCATGAATAAACATTTAAATATGTCATTTTGGTGATCAAAGATGAGTTTTAAGGGGTAAAACCACTGACTACAATGGGACTTTAAATTCTGTAATGTCATATGGAAACATAGAGCAATACTATGCCATAAGCAAACATTTTAAAGCTCCATATGAAGTCATCTGTGAACTTTTTTAAAACTCTATCCCCTTGTTTCCCAGACTAAAAGCCGTCTTACCTGAAAGCATATCTTAAAATATGTCAGAGCGATTGTTTTGTGTCAAGATGCATCATGTTTTTTTCCTAAGGCACGTTTATAAAAATAATAAAGAACTAAGGCCTGATCCTGACTTAATCTAAACCCTGTCTGTCAAACCAGGCCTATAGGAAATCATAGAAGTGCAGTTTAAATGTCCATATCATTCCATAAGCTGACGTTAAGTTCCATATGATGGCATAGAAGTGCATTATTAAATTCCTTTTTTTTAAACACTCCATATGATATCATAGAAGAGCAATTAAAACTTTTATAGCATGCCATAAGAATATGCTTTTAAGTCATCGAGAACATTTTCGAGTTCTATGATGTCAAAGGATGGAGAACAGTTCGTACAGTATGATGTAACCTCCAAAACTAATCTTATAGTCACATCAAGAATCCTTCACAGAGAAAATGTGCCACCGTAGATCCTTCGCTTCTGAGAGCAGATCTCGATGTGTGATCTAAGATGCATTGGAGCATCTGGAACGGGGATTGCTGAAGTTATCTATAAACTTCCTCTGTTGAAGCCACGAACCCCCTCCTCCAAACCTGCAAGTCCCCAAGTGCTCATGTTATAAAAATGATAAAGCTGCTGTACCTGTAATTTAAAAACAGATGGTTTCATCTTTTGAATATTTATAACAATCAAAACAATTTCTGCGCTATGTTGCCCAGGGCTATTAAGGTGTTAAGTGTTGGGTTTAATGAAAAAGAATCTCAGCTTCTTTTTTTTCTTTTTTTGGAGTGGAATGTATTAAAAAAGAAAAAGAAGAAAGCAGGGCAGATGAATAGAAACATGCTGTTAGGGCAGCGAGGAGACGTGAACTCGCTGTGTGGTCTCAACATGCGACTCCGGCTGTGAAAACAGATTGTGAATATGAGTTGCATTCATACAGCGCAGAAATCCCCAAAGCATCGTGTGCTTTGCTCTCTGCCTCACGGATCCTCCTGTGTGCGTCCTCTTTCATACTCTGTGGCATTTGTGAAAGGGACATGTATTTCTTTAGTTTATATTACTGCAGAAAAAAATTGTGCATGAATCGCATTTCTTACCGTTTCTTGGATCAAGATTTGACACTTTATACATAATGCACAGAATGACAGGATCTGTTGTTGTACTGTGTGTGAATGTGGATTTTAAACGACATACAATTTTGTCTTGCAGAGTATGATTTCTTCAATTGTTAACAGCACTTACTATGCAAATGTGTCTGCGGCGAAGTGTCAAGAATTCGGACGCTGGTATAAACACTTCAAGAAGACAAAAGACATGATAGGTAAGCAGAACACTTAAGACTTGTCAAAATCACATCAGGCTGAAAAAAACTGTTTAAATCGGTCTGTGTGTCTGTCTATCTGTCTTTACCTGTGTGTCTGTCTATCTCTCTCTACCTGTCTGTCTCTATATGTGTCTGTCTGTCTGTCTGTCTCTACCTGTCTGTCTGTCTCTATCTGTGTCTGTCTGTCTGTCTATCTGTGTGTCTGTCTATCTGTGTCTGTCTATCTGACTCTACCTGTCTGTCTGTCTCTATCTGTGTGTCTGTCTGTCTCTATCTGTGTGTCTGTCTGTCTCTATCTGTGTCTGTCTATCTGTCTCTACCTGTCTCTCTGTCTCTATCTGTCTGTCTATCTGTCTCTATCTGTGTGTCTGTCTGTCTCTATCTGTGTCTGTCTATCTGTCTGTCTCTATCTGTGTGTCTATCTGTCTGTCTCTATCTGTGTCTGTCTATCTGTCTGTCTCTATCTGTGTGTCTAGCTGTCTGTCTCTATCTGTGTCTGTCTATCTGTCTGTCTCTATCTGTGTGTCTATCTGTGTCTGTCTGTCTCTTTCTGTCTGTTTCTTTCTGTCTATCTGTCTGTCTCTATCTGTCTGTCTATCTGTCTCTATCTGTGTCTGTCTATCTGTGTTTCTGTCTGTCTCTATCTGTGTGTGTCTGTCTGTCTCTATCTGTGTGTGTCTGTCTGTCTCTATCTGTGTCTGTCTATCTGTCTGTCTGTCTGTCTGTCTATCTGTCTGTCTCTATCTGTGTCTGTCTATCTGTCTGTCTGTCTGTCTATCTCTCTGTCTCTATCTGTGCGTCTGTCTGTCTCTATCTGTGTGTCTATCTGTCTGTCTGTCTGTCTGTCTATCTGTCTGTCTCTATCTGTGTCTGTCTATCTGTCTGTCTGTCTGTCTATCTCTCTGTCTCTATCTGTGCGTCTGTCTGTCTCTATCTGTGTGTCTATCTGTCTGTCTGTCTGTCTGTCTATCTGTCTGTCTCTATCTGTGTCTCTTTCTGTCTATCTGTCTCTATCTGTGTGTGTGTCTGTCTGTCTCTATCTGTGTCTGTCTATCTGTCTCTATCTGTGTGTGTGTCTGTCTGTCTCTATCTGTGTCTGTCTATCTGTCTCTATCTGTGTGTGTGTCTGTCTGTCTCTATCTGTGTCTGTCTATCTGTCTCTATCTGTGTGTGTGTCTGTCTGTCTCTATCTGTGTCTGTCTATCTGTGTCTGTCTATCTGTCTCTACCTCTCTCTGTCTCTATCTGTGTCTGTCTATCTGTCTCTATCTGTCTGTCTGTCTATCTGTCTCTATCTGTGTCTGTCTATCTGTGTCTGTCTATCTGTCTCTACCTCTCTCTGTCTCTATCTGTGTGTGTGTCTGTCTGTCTCTATCTGTGTCTGTCTATCTGTGTGTGTCTGTCTGTCTCTATCTGTGTCTGTCTATCTGTCTCTACCTCTCTCTGTCTCTATCTGTGTGTCTGTCTATCTGTCTCTACCTCTCTCTGTCTCTATCTGTGCGTCTGTCTATCTGTCTGTCTCTATCTGTGTGTGTGTGTCTGTCTGTCTCTATCTGTGTGTGTGTCTGTCTGTCTCTATCTGTGTCTCTCTCTCTGTCTCTATCTGTCTGTCTATCTGTCTGTCTCTATCTCTGCGTCTGTCTGTCTCTATCTGTCTGTCTGTCTCTTTCTGTCCGTCTGTCTCTTTCTGTCCGTCTGTCTCTTTCTGTCTGTCTGTCTCTTTCTGTCTTTCTATCTGTCTGTCATTATATCTGTCTATCTCTCGGTCTCTCTCTATCTGTCTCTCTGGTTTTAATATACCTCATCTGCTTATGTTCTTTAGATTCAGTTCAAATGCAAATCTAACAAAAATCATGTTTAAAAAAAAAAAAAAAAATCTTTCTGTGTCTCCATAATTTAATATTTGCCATGCACATTATAGAGCACTTAATACATGTGATTTTTATCTTTTCAAGTGTTCAAACACGCACCTGTCGATCAGGTTGTTATACTCTTGACATCTGCCTGTTGTTTCCTGCTCACACGTTCACTTTTACCCCCACTAACTCTCTCTCTCTCTCTCTCTCTCTCTCTCTCTCTCTCTCTCTCTCTCTCTCTCTCTCTCTCTCTCTCTCTCTCTCTCTCTCTCTCTACACCTGTGAATGTGTGTTCATCCGCGCAGTCGTGCGCCAGCCCTCTCAGCTGGAGGGTTATCTGGGGACGTGTGTCCTCCACGACAGTCCACGTGCCACCACGTTAGGTAGGTCACGTGACGCACCGCAACGATATTACACATGTGCTCGAGTCCCGATGGCGGGAACACTAACTGCGTTAAAGAGCCGCGTGAGTGCGGCAATCAGACCACGCCGGCTGCCACTGCAATATTATATGCATTTATAAATTGTTTTCTTTTGTTGTGGCACTAAATGTCTGCCAAATCGAATGTATTTGTCTAGCGTATTTAACAATACACATTGTTTCAAAGCAGCTTTACAGAAAATCATGATGTTAATATTTATAATATCTTCATATCTTAAGTCACATTTAGTATAATATAGGTACATTTTGCTATGATACAAGCAATTTGCTATACAGTATATTTCACCCTTTTTGAGTACCGGTATACAGATAAAATTGGATGTATATATACGACTTCATATTGAGCTGAGTGGTGATAATAGAGCTGGGTGGTAATATAGTTTACATTTTGCAACGATATAAACAGTCATGCATTTGCTATAATTTTCACTTTGCATAACCTTTAATGCATTTCTGTGCGATAATATAGTTTACATTTGTCAACAAATCGCGCAGTTGATATTTGCTATATAGTGTGTATACCACTTTAAGTGAGTGTACTGTATGAATCCGGGTGAGGCTGGATATACTTATTTTGCAATTGCCAGATGCCTCTAACATTTAATTTTTTGGTTTCGTTTTGCTTACTGCGACGAGAAATGTATCCGTCCACACTGAAAGCAAACATGCTTCTCGACGCACAGCCAATCAGAGCATACTTGATGTTTCGTATATAGTGGGATTTTGGACCAATGAGATTATTATGGGCGGGGCTTGGAATGCATGATGCTACGGTACATTTACATGTATGCATTTCTTCGATTTAGTTCTTGTCTTGATCTTGGTTTACAGCTACAATTGAATGCAATTTTGCAGCATTAATGCTGTTATTTTCCTGTTTATTACTGTGAAGCTGCTTTGCATTGTAAAAGGCGCTACATACATAAACGTGGCTTGCGATTTGCATTGCATTCAAGTTATACATTTATTCAGTTCATGCATTCCCTGGGAATCAGACCCATGACTCACCGTATTTTTTTATTTACACTTCAGGAATGCAAAGCTACGGCATAGTTACGCCAAGGTCGAACACTGCTAATGATAAAACGCACGTCTTGAATGCACTGCGACTGTAACCGGGTTGAGCGCGTCCCACCATGCATCGCTTCACAAGCGGTCAGTGGTCAGCCGATCCCGCAGGATCTTTGGGAGTGTGTCGAGGCGTCTCTAGCGCAGCAGCGTTCCCATTCAGACCCAGCCGAGACGTGGGGTTTTCCCTCCCTCCCCTCAGCACACATTCTCTCTCCCATTGTGCTCCTAATCCCAGCCGGCTTTGTGGTGAATTCCACAGGAGGGACTCCGGTGCTCAGTCTGGCCCTGCGAACGCTTTCTTCCAACCTTTTCAATTTGCGTGGAAAAGTGTGTGCCCCCCAGCAGTTTTCAACAGCAAAAAAACATAACTGAGAGGCATACCGTAACATCAGAGCACAGGAACGAGGGGGATTATGGGAGAGCTTTGATTATTACCCGATTTTTGTTTTGTTTTGTTTGTTTGTTTTTTTTTTTTTTTTCCTTCTCACTTTCTGCGGATATTGAAAAGAACAGCCGCGGCTTTGTGCTCGCTGTCAGTTAAGACACATGTTTGCGTCCTTGTGCTTATTGTGCGTATCTCTGGAGAGTTTCCATGCGCTTAATCTGGTTTTTATCTTCCTGTTGAAATATTTATGTTTTGCTATGCTTTTTTTGCGCTCCATAAAATCCGTAAGATTGTGATGTAGTTGTTAGTAGGTGACGGGCGTTGCGTTTCTCATTTTCTTTAAACTAATCTCTATCAGCTGACTTAATATATAATATTTATGTAAAGCACTTTGAACTGCATTTTACGCCTGAAATGTGCTATATAAATAAAGTTTATTATTATTACCGGTTGCAGAAAGGTATAACACTTCAGTCCTTTGACGGTTTTTAAAAATATTTTCTCACCTTTATGCCGTTTCCAAATCTGTAAGATGTTAATTTATCCGTGTAAAATATAAAAGTCGAAATTACTAAATCTACACGCAGCTCTTTTTAGTACAACATCTCCGAAAAGCTTTAGAAATGGACAAATAAGCACACTAAAAGTAGAAAAGATGGGTTTTGGAATGGGATGATTATTTCTTTAAATTCATAGACATTTTAATTTTCCGATTTTGCAGCTTGTCACGCAAAACTTTTGATTAAAAGAATCAGACAACATCTGATGGCATGGACCGCATCTAACAGTCGGCTGTTTATAAGGCCGTGCTCTGGGCTTCCAGTGTAACACGCTCCGGTTATATTTAGACTTTCCCAAAATTTCATATTAGCCAGCTTGTGTACCTTGTTTTAGAATTAAGAGCATAAAGGACGATTCAAGTGTGTGTCTCTCTGGCTCGGTCCATGTGAAGACATGTCCTGCTTTCGCAGAGTGCCCACACTGGCTTGTTGTTATTGCTCACATGATTTGGCCATGGAGATTATAAACTAATTTCTAGTGCTGCCAATTTATGCAGATACAGGTCACACACTGTGGCCCATTATATCAGAGAGGTTGCACTGGGTTACTGTAGTAATGGCAGGCTGGGACGGGTTTGATTAGGATCGTTTAGTTTGAAACTGTTTGCTTTTTGACTTCAGGTCATGTCTAGCTCATTAGAAAAGTGTTTACTACTTGATATTGATTAATATTGTGTTCGGCATTGGGTAGTGATAGAACAATGAATCACTTATTTTGAAAATATCAGCATGCTCAGTTGTCCATTTAGGTGATATGTCCTATGTTTTTCTATTTTTAAATATTTTTCATTTAGTGTGCAGTTAGGGCAAAAGTATAAATACTTGGTGTTGATACTACAAAAAACTCATTTTTATGATAATATAATAACATTTTTAATTGAAGTATCTATGTAAACAGTCTTAAGTGAAAACAGGCAGGTTAAAAAAAATCAGATTTGGTTCAGAATAGACCTGCCGCTGTCTATTTTGTTGTTGATATGAATCAAACGACATCATATTGATAAGAAAATGAGAAAAGCACTTACCGTGCTCTCTATTAATGACTGTTTACATGGATGATAACTTGAAAAAAATATTTACTTAATGGAAAAAGGCTTTCACTACATGCCACTAATTTAATTTGTTCATGTTTATATTAATATGTAATTTTTTTTAAATGAAGAAGCAAGTTCAGTAGCTTGGAAATTTTAAAGTTTCGCTGTTATTAGGATCAATTACTGAAATATTGTTATTGTGCATGTGTGCATGCGTGTGTGTGTGTGTGTGTATATATATATATATATAATATACAGTAGTCAACATTTGAAGTGGATCAAAACCTTTCACAGTTATACATGAATTTTGAACAATACCTGTTCTTGTCTAAGGCCAACTTTGAACTTTTTGATCCACTTCAAATGTTGACGTGTGTGTGTGTATATATATATACATGCATGCATGCATGCTTACACACAAATCTAATTTAACTTGAATCTTTAACTTTCAATTATCTCGTCAATAGTTGTCAGTTAAAGCATTCTGAACCCTGTGCATTGACACGCGTCCTCTTCTTTGTGTCCACCTTCAGCTGAGATGGACGGCCTGTCGGATCTTTCTCCCCCTGGAACGAACCACCTGAGCTTCAGTCAGCAGCCCATCCCGGGCAGCACAGCGGAGCAGCCCCCGTCCCCGGTGCCCCTGTCCCACAGCGCCCAGGCCCCCGCTCGAGCCCAGCTCCCCGGCCTGCACCCCGGCCTGGTGTCCACTCCCATCAGTCCTCAGCTGGTCAGTCAGCAGATGGTCATGGCTCAGATCCTCAACCAGCAGTACGCCGTCAACCGTCTCCTGGCCCAGCAGTCCCTGAGTCAGCAGTACCTCAACCACCCGCCGGTCAACCGCGCGCTCAACAAACCGCTGGACGGCGGCGGCGTGTCCTCCAACTCCGAGGTGTCCGTCGAGATCTACCAGTGGGTGAGAGACGAGCTGAAGAGGGCCGGCATCTCCCAGGCCGTGTTCGCACGCGTCGCCTTCAACAGGACGCAGGTACACATCTATATGTGACGTTATAAAAGCCAATTTTGAAAGAAAAGATAAACGTTCTACATGGGTTGAAGTTGTTGGTCTTATCCTCTCACATGCGCTCCAAAAAATACATAGGAAGCATTTTAATGCATCAGGGTGTTCTTCTGATGAAACAATTATTCCAGAAGGATTGCAGTGTTATGCTGCCCTCTAAGATGGAGACCATAATGCATTGTGACAAGCAAAGTTTAACTAAAGATGTCCTGTTTTATCCAGTATGTGGATAAACTAATGACAGAAATCCTGTCTGGCACCCCAGCATATATATATATATATATATATATAAAAAAAAAAGATTATGGGAAAATGTGTTTGTTAAATTGTGTTATGTATTTAGATTAAATTTAGGGAAAAAAAAGATATTTGGGTATTTTGTCTTTCTGCGATTTTATTGCGATATGACGAAAATTCAGGGAAAGTCACCAGATGATTTAAATGGCGCAATTTGGAAAGAATTGAGAATTGGAAAGTAATCTTTCTAGAATACATAGCAAATTAAAATTATGTGAAAAAAAATACTTTTTTATATATATATATATATATATATATATAAATATATATAAAAGAATTATAAAAAAAAAAATATATATATAATAATAAAAATTATTTTTGTGTGAATATTACTTTAAAAATATGTAATACTATTGCTACGATAAAATGAAAATGTAGTGTTTAATAAACAATTTTTTTTAAATCTACAGCTAATATTTACATTTTCCAACATTTTCCAACATTAAACCATTGAGCGTTTTTTTTGGTGGCAAACCGCAGTGAGGCCTTAAAGTTGCTGCTTTGTTGCCAACAGGTTTATAAACTTTTCTCGAATCAAATGTGGTGAAATGGTGCATTTTGCATCTGCAAATGGACGATATAAGCGACTCAAACTCACAGAAAACACCAGATCATGAGCTGCATGTGTGTAAATAAACACAGCTTCGCTCTGAAACACGCAGCCCATTTATTTATTTCATTGAATCGCAGCCTGTAGGAAGTGATGAGATATCGGATTTTCAACTTTATTTTGATATTTCGAATATCTCCTCCGGACATCACTTATGGTCACTACTAGAGCGTTCCAGATGTGTGTTATATCAGTTAGGATGCCGTCTATGTTGGCAGTATCCAGGAAGACAGCTCAGGTTTTGGAACGGAGCCATTAAGTATGCTGTTTTTGTAGATGCCTGTCAAATTATTTTGTTGATGATTATAAATGCTGAATCATATCGCCAGCCCCATACATCAGCTGTGACATGTTGGTGTGAAGCTTGCCACTACACGCTCTGAACATCATTAAAATGCACCAGGCCTCGCTAATATAGTGACAGCAGAGCGCTGATAGTTCGATGGTTTATCTTCTTTTGTTTTGGGATCAACACAAAGAGAACAATCGTCCAGGAAATGAGGGGTTATCAGGACAAAGAGCGAGCGAGCGCTTTTCTCTCACCTCATCTTTCAATCAAAAACTTTACTAACCATCAGCTTCCTGGAGTCGTGACTTCTGGTTTGCACGCCGGGGGTTTTGACCTTGTTTTTCGTCATTGCACGTAATCTGTTGACAGCGCTGAGCTGGGACAGGACACTTATTAGCGGTGTTAGCATCACTATTATTATTGCTCTTACAAATTATTGCATTTTCCAGTCAAAACCTCATTCCTCATTGTTTGTGGTACGTTATTGTGCGTGAGATATACCTCAAATTGCACAGTTTGAATCAATGGTTTCTCAACAGGCAAGAACTATAAAATATTTGGATGCAGAAAAGACTGTCATAAATTTTTATTTATTTATTTTTACTGACGCAAGGCAAAGTAACCGCAGATTTATGGCTGATCATTATTTGAGTCTACTTCTAGGAGTGGAAGTCATTTAAAGGCACACTGTGGAACTTTTAAACCTTTATAATATATTACCAAAACCCATTGAGATGGTACATCGACTTACAATAGGTTGAATGACACGTCTGCCGAAGCCTGAAGGTGTCTGTCTCGCTTTTCCTAGCACTATGTAACTTCGGGTTTCGGGTAGGAACCCGAGCACAAAAAGAACTACAAAATTCGACCGCTTTACGGCATACGTCACTTCCCCCACCACCCACAACTTCCTCAGATTCTAATGTGAGAGCTCAACTCGCGTTTGATTGCCGGCGTCTGTATGTTGTCGTCATGGCTGAATCAACAGCTACTCGGAAGAAAGCGAAGAAAGCTAAGATTTTGTCAGAGGAGACAAAAAAAGTTTAAAATAAACATCGGCATAAAAGTGTATATATAATGTAATATTTACTGCGAATTTGTGTAACAAAACTGATATAAGTCACAACATACTGCCGTATACAAATGTAAATGTAAATGTTTTTTTTCCTTTCAGCTCATATATGTTTGTATTTGTGTAAAAGGAAAAACAAACTGAAGACTACAAATAACGGAAATATGTAGTGAGTTATATCAGTTTTGTTACACGATTTCCCGACTACTCGATTTCATCTCCAACCCATTGCAAAGAGATCCTGAAGACGTTAATTGTTTGCTTCAGGTGTGTTTGATTAGGGTTGGAGATGAACTGTGCAGGACAGACGATCGGCAGGAGCAGGATTGGGCAACCCTTGTCAATGCGCCTTACCTGATCAGACATTGTTTTCTGCGTATGCTACTTTTATTCAATTTGTTTTCTTTATAGGATTTATAGTATTAATCTTATATTTATATTATTATTTTGGTCAGTAGTGAATTGATTAACTTTCTCCAACATACAAATCAAATGCCGTCTGCACACACATAAAGACACGGGAGGTTGACCGGTTGACTTTTGCGACAATGCTGCGGCGCTTGTGGCCTCTAGGGGCACTAGACGTGAAAATTGCAGGTCGAGCGCACCCTAGTGGCCAAAAATTCCACAGTGTGCCTTTAAAGATATTATATTAATATCTGACTCGTATGTTAATTTGACAGTTAACATTCCCTGCTGATTATACATTTTTGGGTCTGTAAGGTTCGTTAATGTTTAAAAATTCTTCTGGCTGAATGTTTTTTATCATAAAAATAGTAAAAACAGTAATATTGTGAATTAGTGCAATTTAAAATAGCTGTTTTTCTATTGTAATATATTTTAAAACAACGTCATTATTGATTTTGAAAACGGATGTTTCTTAATATTTTTGTGGAACCGTGATACTTTTAAAAAAAATTAATTGATGAATATAAAGTTAAAAAAGATGAATGGAAAGTTCAAACAAACAGCTTTTTTTTTTTATTAAATCTTTCGAATCTCTTCTGTAATATTATAAACACTGTCACTTTTGATTAATTGAATGCATCCATGCTGAATAAAAGTATTAATTTATTAAAAAATAAAAATGTATCAAATTAAATTAAATAAAACCATCTATTGTGCAATTATAGCTCAGAATGAGTTTGGATTTAAGTTAAATAAATCAAGTGTCACCCAAAATATTAATGTACAAACTTTAACTGAAAGCATTTCTGTGCGGTTTGAACACAGTATCTGAATGGCATTTCGAGGTAAAATACTCGCGATGTATCAATACTTGAAACCACCCAGAACATCCTATCAAATACTGGGAAAGTTATCAGACGAAAGCGGTTTTGCACTAGTTGTTATTAGTAAAATCCCACTCCTTAATTCTAACCGAAAGCCTTGACAACTGTCTGCCATCATCAGGTGAGACAAAGCGAGCCGTCCCTGGACGAGTGCCAGAAGTGTGTGTGTGTGTGTGTGTGTGTGTGAGACTGATGTGGAGACAGAGGGAAGATAATAGATAACGTCTCGTGACGTTCTGCATTAAACCTGCGACGACTTTGACGTCGCGTTCGAGCGATTGGCATCTATAGGAATCAGCGGCTGCGTCTTGACGGCCCTGTTTGCACAAATTGGTATTTAGTTGCGCTGTGAAGAATTTGAAACATGCATTTTCTTTTGTTTCCACAGAGCTCTTAAATATTTATTTGACATTCTTCTCTGCATGTGAACGAGGGCTGCTTGTGGCGGCATGTCAGGGCGGCGTCTCAGACTCAGTGTTTATGCGGGTTTGGTGGCTCTTCTTAGAGATTATGGGGTTTTAATAACACTTTGATTGTGGTTGATTGTAATCGAACCTACGCTTAGTGTTACTGACCAATCCTAACCGTTGCAAAAGTCCACTACTGCTCACCAAGGCTGCATTTATTTGATCAAAAATACAGTAAAATTCTGAAATATTATTAGAATTTAAAATAGCTGTTTTCTATGTGAATATATAGTAAAGTGTAATTTATTCCTGTGATCAAAGCTGGATTTTCAGCATCAGTACTCCAGTCTTCAGTGTCACATGATTCTAATATGATGATTTGATGCTCAAGAAATATTAATGATTATCTGTTATCTGTTTTTTTTTTCAGGATTATTTGAATCGGGTGAACAGCATTATTTAATATAGAAACTTTTGTAACATTATAAATGTCTTTGCTGTCACTTCTGATCAATTTAATGCGGTATAAAAGTGTTCATTAATACAATTAAATTACATTTCTCTTTTGTTAGTGGCTTTGAATTAAAGCATCTACTGAATGCACAAATGCATTTATATATATATATATACATTTAATGAATGGTAGGGTACGTTTTATAAAAGTCCTCTTGTGTTTGTAAATAGTAAGCAGAAATGATGTTGTAGAAACTTGCTTTCAAGTAAGGCTTTACTCTTTTCAGGGACTGTGAGAAGCGTTTCATTCGATTCTGATTTGCAATCTATGTAGTTTTAATCACATTACTGTAGAATTTAACTTCTCTGTAAAGAAAGGCTTTGTAATGTCACATTTAAGTCATAAACTCCATTAAATGATCAGCACTGCATGAGCATGTTTTACTGAAAAACACTTTTAATAGAAATCTCCAGTTCATTCCTAAGGGACGTTCAGTTGGTGGAGTGACTAAGGTGGGCGGAGCTTAGCGACGGGTCAATAGCTTTGTCACGTATGGAGTGGAGAGAGTGTTTTAATTGTTGCTCTTGTGCTGATTGCTCTTTTCTAAGAGGACAATGCATTTATTTCTGTCTCTTGTTTTTTGTCTGGTTCTTCTAGGGTCTTCTGTCAGAGATTCTCAGAAAAGAGGAAGACCCCAAGACTGCATCTCAGTCACTCCTGGTGAACCTGCGAGCGATGCAGAACTTCCTCCAGTTGCCGGAAGCGGAGCGAGACCGGATCTACCAGGATGAGAGAGAGCGCAGTCTGACCGCAGCCTCTGCTATGGGTCCCGCGCCGCTCATCAGCACCCCTCCCTTACGCCCCGTACAGGTAACACACTGAACACACTTCTCAGACAGGGATTCTCTTTGTGCAATTAAAACGGTGCATGCATTTTGCCTTTTGATGCATGTTTTTATTTTTGCCTTGTTTTCCAGTAAAAAAAAAAATATAAATATATATACTTCAAACAAGAAAAAACAATTAATTCAAGATATTATCTTACAGTTAAATGTATCTTGTTTTATGCATAAATCAAGCAGATTTACTGTAAATAGATTCTCTGAAAAAAAGCATAATTTTTATTAATTTTTTTCTTTGCAATTTTTCTTCTCAAGTAAATGTTGTTTTCCGATGGTTATTTTTACTGGAAGACAAAGCAAAAATTGTGGTCTTTTTTTTTATTTAATTTTTTAGTAAAAATATATTTGCATTCTTAAAACAAGATACATTGATTTGGATACAGTTTACTTAGCAAAATCTGTAAGAAAAAATATATCTTGAATTCTCTTCTTACTCAGTTGGCTATTGTTTTTCTTGTTCTATGAATAAATCATATTTACTGTTAATATATTCTGAGGCTTATTTAATTTTAATTTAATTAATTAATATATAATTATTTTTATTTTTGCTTGTTGCCATTTGTCTTCTGAAGTAAATGTTGTTTTAAGGTGGTTATTGTTACTAGAAGACAAAGCAAAATTACTGATTCATTAACAAGTGAATCATTCACAGTAAGACCATAAACGTGAATTAATAAAGTAAATGGGGTCATGTTGAGTTTAAATAGATTCTGTATTCTCGCTTATGTAAATGTATGTGGAACTGAACACCCAGACTCTAATGCTCACTGACTAACATAATGAATGATTAGCTCAGGTATGCTTTTCATCAGTCATCGTCAGAGTATTTGTTTTTCGCAGTCCTGAGGACCCCCACTAACTGCTGGAGAAATGACTTTAAAGCTGCTGTGGGTAGTTTTGACGTTGAAATACTCAAATGAAGAGAGTTTGAGAGTGTGCGACCAATGGAAGACAGGGGGAAACCTGTTTGGAAACGGTCATTATTTTTGCAGTTCTGTTTGGTGCTGCTATTGGCCTGGAAATGATGCACTGCAGCTTTAAATCAGTGTATTGTAGTAATCTATTGGTCAGGAGCTCACACATGACAGTAACCACAAGAACACCATTATAACCTCAAACCGAACTCTTTATCTGCACCAATGCATTTGCACCTAACTGCATGTCAGTCTCTTTTTTTAATAAATACAGAGTAAACAATGCAATTCCAGATTCTTTAGTGGTCAGCTATACTGCCCTATATTTGATTTGTTATTAATAGTGGTTAACAGCTGAAAATATTTGACATTTTATGTTTGCATATGTATATGCATTTAGCAGACGCTTTTATCAAAATCTTAAATGTGCCACACTTAAATGATGAGTATGGACTTGGTTATTGGTGAGTACCGAAACTAAAGTAGAGATGCATTGATGTACTGATAATTTTGACAAAATAATTTTAGATTTTATTCTTTTAGCAGATGCTTTTATCCAACTATTATATGCCGTCGCTGTCGTGCGGAAACCTTGTATCTCCAAAACCGCTACTATTCAGGAAATGGAAAAAACACTATTTATTTTAATAATTAAACACTGCGTTGTCAAAGTTGATATTGTGGCTTTATATATTGTCAGACACTTATATGAGTAGCATTTAACCAAATGGAGTTACAAGGTTTCAGATCATTTTGGATATTTGTGTTTTGTCTCATCATCTGAGGCAGTAAGTGCATAACGTTACGCTTTCATCGACTTACAGATTATAACGTTTATTGTAGCTTTGTGTGCGCTCAGTTTTTTCTGTCCTTTGGCCAAAATCTCATGTTAGTTAACAATACTGGCTATAACTCGACGACAAATGTTGGACTAAGACACTCTTTGCTCCTCAAATATGTAAAACATTAGCCTATATATATATATAAATATAGTGTTTCTTGAGTAAAACGCTGCACTTAAGCAGTTCTTTATTTATCATTGCATTGCAAACAAGCAGAGACGTGTGCACTTCATTCACGATAGAGGTGGGAGGAGCTATGAGGTTTGACTGACAGTTTGAGGAGCCAATGGAATTACAGGGTTTAGTCACAAGCTCTTTTTAATATTTTTCATTAGTTAAATATTTACAAAACCCACTGACAGACATAAAGGGTGACCAATAGTAATGATTTATGAAAAAAAACATTACGAAATAAGGAGATAAGAAAGCAACGAAATGCTACCCTTAAGTTATGAGTGTGCACTTTTTAGTTATTTGCGAGTACCATAACAAAAGTATCAGTACATAAATGCATATACTTTGGAGGAAACATTTTGACATTTTATGCATTTAGCAGATGCTTTTATCCAAATATTAAATAGCTACCCTTAAATTATGAGTATGCATTGTAAGTGTTTTTACAGTTATTGGTGTGTACCATCTACGAGATCTTTTGTGCACTAAGCGTTTCCGATCTCAAAGCTCTCCACGCAGGGCAGGGAAGGTATGCAGAACGCTCTCCTTCAAACGAAGTTGAGTGTGTCTCAGTGGATCGAACACAAAGCCTTCCTGTGTGTGATGGACTGAGGAGGGTCTTTTATACAGGAGAAAACTCCCGCACACACACACACACACACACACACACACACAGAATGTGTAAAGACCGAAATGTCATCAGTGCTCACTCAAGTGTGCACGCATTTGTGTGCGCTTGCGTGCATCATGTCCGTGTGTGTGTGTGTGCAAACCAGATGCTGCTTTCCTGTTCAGATCCCATTATCAGATGGTTCTGTAACCTGATTATTCAGCAACTGCGCCTGATTCGTCAGCCTTGTACAGCGCTCGGCAAAAGTCTCCATTATCTGATGATATTTGGACAAATTGGTGAAATTTTAAATGAAAGGGCATATCGATACACACATATAATGGCTGTGTTCCAATAGTGTGCTACATAGGCAGCATCCTAACCGAACCTCATTAGTAACTGATTAGAAACACAGTTTGGTGATGTTAGTATGTTGCGAAGATCTTGCTACTATAATAAGCATAATGCACATGTGAATGTTCATTTATTTAATACAATTAATTACATTACATCGGGTAACACTTTACAATAAGGTTCAACATTAGTTAATGTATTAACTAACATGAACTAACAATGAGCAATACATTTGCTACAGTATTTGTTAATGTTAGTTCACATGCATTAACTAATGCTGACAAATAGATTTTAATAATGCATTAGTAAATGTTGAAAACAATATGAATTAAATGTATTCATCAAAGTATTGTTACTTGCTACTAATGAACCTTATTGTAAAGTGTTACCGACTATTGTATTAGTACTTTTCCGTATTGAATTAATTTAATATTATAAATAGTACGCCTACCTATCTTGAACATGACGCCTTTTAGCTGAACATGCCATTGATCAGATAACGTTTTGCCCATCATTGGCTGTTTTGCATAAGAAATGAAGGATAGAGGGAAGTGTGTTGATGCAGGGCAGCTTGATGCTGACAGATATGAGTGAGATGTTTGCAGGATTGCTGTAAATCAGCAGGGTGGCACGTCTCGCAGCGCTGCAAGGCTTTTATGACGCCCATAAAAACAGATGTGAAGGTATGTTTCCCGCATACGTTAATGGATCGTCAGACATTGTGTGCAAGTTTGCGCACGCTCGTCCCTTTATAATTAGATATGGTCACAAAATAACTGAAGCTAGACACTGATGCTTCACATGTAAATGACTGCCTCTTCAGTTTGGAGGCCCTTCATATTTAAAAAAAAAAAAAGGAAAAGAAAAAAAAGTTCTAGAAATCTTTGCAAGCTGCAGAAATCATTTGTCACATGGTGTGCTACTGTGATATGAGTCTGATCTAGAGCAATCTAAGCATTCTGATGAAATGTTGCTGTGTGTGTGTGTGGGTTCGGTTCAAGTAGACTTTACTTACATTATAGCGACAAAATGTCCCCACAAAAATGGCAATATCCGAAATCCTTGTGTGGATATTTTTGGTCCCCCTGAGAAAAAACGCTTATAAATCATAAATGATATACAGTTTGTGCAGTTTAAAAATCATTGTTTATGGAAATTCCCCATAAAACATGGAAACCCAACGTGTGTGTGTGTGTGTGTGTGTCTTCACAGCCCAGAAGAGAGGAGTGTAATAATGTGAGACCAGAAGACTGGAATCCCAGAATTCCAGTGGGCATCTCTCCTGTGAGTGCACATATGGTACATTGTTTTTGAAAAAGTGAAGCATGATTTTGTCCTTGATTATAAACCTACATTTACAGTATGCGTGTATCTATTATCAACATATCAATTTGGATGCATTTAAAATAGGCATTTATAATGTAACAAAAGATTCTTTTTTTTTTAAATAAATGTTATTTTGAACATTCTGTTAATCAATGAATCCTAAAAAATACCATAAAAATATCATGATCGATGTTGAAAACAATTGTGCTGCTTCATAAGAGTTGAAAATTCAGCTTTGCATTACAGGAATAAATGACATTTTAAGATATATTAAAAAAGCAAGCAGTTATTTAAACGGTAATAATATTTCACAACACTCAATATTTTTGATCAAATAAATGCAGCCTTGCTGAGCAGAAAAAAACATGTGTATATATAAATATGCGTGTATGTATATAGGATATATTTATGTATTTATTGTTTTGTTAATGTAATTTGATATATATATAATAGTAGAATATATATCAAATTTTATTTTTATTTTTTTCTGCGTAATTTGATAGCTGGACTAAAAATGAAGTCTTTTTTTTCTCCAGGTCAAACCCAACCCTCTGACCTCTGAGTGGAATGGTAAATCCGAGAGTTGCGTGTTAAACATCAACTCCTCCATCTACGATGAGATCCAGCAGGAGATGAAGAGGGCCAAAGTGTCCCAGGCCATGTTCGCCAAGGTCGCCGCCTCCAAGAGCCAGGTAGAGCTCAAACCTCGCACACACACACACACTTTCACTAGCCCGTCATGCTTCAACCGCTCACCTGGTTGACAAAACATGTCAAACATTTTCTGTGTACAGTCTAAAGAAGGCCCAGATAGCAAGATAAAAGTGTAAAAGGAGAGCTTTGTTAAGCCTCGCACTCAGGTACCGCAGCGCCGTAATGACTTGCGCCGCTTTATTGTGGGTTTGCGAACAGCAGACAGTGTTGCAACATAAAACAAATGTGTTTATATAATTCAGCTGTGCAACGACCACACCGTTATCTCACATAGCGAACAGCCTTCTGCTGAATACAGGCCTCTGTGAGAGACATTACCGTCTGTTTTAGCCTATTAAAACTAATTAAAGAAACGCACGGCGAGCCCCATTATTAAAGGTTTCACATATCTATGTGCACACTTAAAGATTTTCACAATTACATCTGATGTGGGGGGAAAACGCGAATAAAAGCTCTAAATTATCTGGAAATATCAGCAGGTTTTTGCTGATTGCACTGATTATGGTGCCAGATACTTTTGTTTCACCAAATTACAGTTTGATGCACAAACCACTGTTTTTGTCGAAGGGAGTTCAAAGCCGAGAAGGGTGGAGGAGAGAAAAGACAAACCGGGGCATTTATTCCAGTAAGATTGTGGTATAAAGTGCTGGTTTGAGAGAAAAGAGCCCCCTCTCTGTGTCTCTCTCCAGCCCTGCCTGAGCCTGTGTGCTTCATTCATGGCTGGTGTGAATGTGAATTGAGCAGCAGATAAGAACTGTGCTAATTACGCAGCTGAGAAAGGGGCCTGGGAGAGCACTTATCTCCGGCTCCATCTCGTAATGTGCGCTCCCCGGGCAGCTGGTCCCCCTCCTTCCCGTTCCCAGCCCCCCCCCCATGGGGCCCACGGGGCCGACGGCTCAATGACCGGCCGGTGCCGAGTGCCGATGCCGAACGCGTCGGAATGATGCCGTGTGCGAGACGAGTGTGATGCCCGTCTCGGTGTCGTAATTAGCGCTGGGAAACTTGAAATTTGGGCGTGTCATTTAAAGAATCGTGGATTGGTCTTGGCCAGATAAAAAAAAAAAAAAAAAAAATGTTTTATGCTAATTGGGTCGATTTAGTGATCATTCTTCCTTGAAAATATGCAACTGGTTGAAACTACATTTCCCATCATTCTCTGTAGATGCACATAAATGCTAAAATGCACAGATAAAGTTAGGAGTGCAGTGACATGAAATGCAAAAAGTGCTGGCCTTTAATGTGCACTTTTATGCGACATAAGATTGTATTTAAAATGCATTGTTTATTTTGATTGAAGTCGAATTTATGATTTCTGAAATACGTTGGAGGACACACTTTAATTAGTTAGTGTCATTAACTCGCATTACCTAACAATGCTTTTGTTACAGTATTTATTAATCTTTGTTAACATTTAACAACTGCTCATTGTTAGTTCATGGTACAGGGTTGTATAACAGACGGAATTGCAGAATTCAGTTATAAAAATGGAATTTAGAGTTTAATGTGGAATGTCACGGAATTTTGAAAAATGGGTGAATAAATCAAAAGTAGGGCTGTAAACTTAATCAAATCTAGTGTCTGTGAATAGTAGACTAGTGTCTGTGAATATTAAAGCTTGAAAAGACGTATGCATGATCTGCATGTCTCAGTTGTGTCTACTACACTTATTTGGGGAAGAATAAAACAGGCCTTAATGTCAGCTCAGGTCCAGTAAATATGAACAAACACAACTTTTGATTTGAAATATCTATTAGTAAATGTTGAAATGAACAAATTAATAAAGTATTTTTCACTGTTAATTCGTGTTATCTATGGGTGTGTTCACACTCGGCGTGTGTTTGGTTGGATTAAAATCAACTCTGGTGCGATTGCTCTGTAAGTGCGGTTCGTTTGATTAAGTGTTGAACGCTGCCATCTGAACCCTGGTGCCACCAAACACACGGACCAAAGACATGTAAACGAAGCAAAAACAGGACATGATGTCAGAAGATGCGCCCCTAAAAAGGACAGATGGTCAAGCATACCTGATTTTTTTCTCGTCATAGTCAAGATGTTGCCCATCAAAGTTCAGTACCGGCGTCAGAACCGCGTCTCCTCACTGCAGATCTCCTTTTGCTCTACTTTGCCGCTGTTTTTGACTCCTTTACACATTTTACAATCTCTTCATGAGTTCTCACTCAGCTGGTCAAAATGCCATCATATGTAGCGACACGCACACAACGAGTGCTTTTAGTCCATAACACAGCATTGTTTTGGATGTTCGTAAGTTCTGTCGCCAAATATACATAATAAAAGCCAACCGATCAGGTTGTGAACGCATCCCTGTGCCTTTAAGGTTCGGTGTAAAATGACAATGTGAACGCTAAGCAGACCAGGACTAAATGTTTTTTTTCTTTGGTCCGCTAACCGAACTTCGAATCTGAAACATAGACGGAAAATAAAATATGGACGTAGTGTCGGTGATGTCACCCGTAGTGTTTCTAAAGAGCATTTTTGAGCCCAAAGTGGCCGTCATCATCTTGGCAGCGTCACTCCCAGATAAACGGAAATGGGTAGAGGCGGATTAGCTGAGGTGACGTGATGCTAGTAGTGACATCAGCGGCAATCCACCTGTCACTCAAGTGGCCACGCCCTTAATTATGCAGAACTTTAATGCTTAATATAATTTAAATGGATGAGTTATACAAAAATTCACCCCCCTCACAGTCGTCATGAAGGGCTAAATTAGCTATATAGACCAAAACCACTTTTTGCACCAGGCTGTAAACACATAATTTTCTGCTGTAAAGTTTTGGAGCCTGTCTCTAGTGGCCAGTCGATTAATTGCAGTTTAAGTCACACTTGGATTCAAGAGACCGGAAGGTATATATATAGTAGTAAACTATATTACGAATGGAATGGAACCGTATTGCAAAGTCTGACCACCAACTGTGTTTGTTTTGTTTGTTGGTCCTGGACGGCGTGTCCTGCGAGGCGTTGTGCCGTATGGTTATGGTTCTCTTGCGTGGCGGATTCATTCAGTGCAGGAATCCTCTGCCGAATCGGAGGTAGCTCTATCCGCAGCACACGCTAGAGATCTGGCACCGGATTCGGGTTTGGCTTCCGACGCCACGGGGCTCCAGAACCGGCCCAGATCTAACCTCCACGAGAGGTTTAAAAGCCGTAAACACTAGTTTGAGGGGGTTAAAGAGAACCGTCGCGCGTGTGTACCTGCTTACTCATGTAGCTGCGTGTACTGTGTGTGTGTGTGTGCTGTTTACTGGGGGATGGGCACTGGATCGGAGCCATGCCGTCCCCCTCTCTGGGCACACATCCATACAGGACGAGAGTGCCAGGCTTTATCTATTTGGTGGCACTTTCATATTCCGAGTAGCATTTCAATTAATTTCTCCTCCTGCACCACAGAAAAACCAGCGCTTTTGCAGCCTGTAGACTGGAAAAGAAAAGCATAAACTGTCCATTTGTGCGCTCGACGTTCAGTGCAGTGTTCGAGAAATCCTGATGTTTTGGAGGTGAATGCAAGCTTAGTGGTGAATGCTCCTCCTTTTCTTCTTCAGTGCTGGATAGTTTCACCCGGTTTGCTGTGCAAATGTCATTTTTATTCAAGGTATCATTCATATGGTGCATATTACGAAGTTAATGGAGCTCGGATCACAATCGCTTTTCTTGCATAATATAATGCATTTCTACAGTATTGTTGAAAAGTTGGTTCCGATTTATTTATTCAAATATACAGTAAAATTCTGAAATATTATTATAATTTATTATAGCTGTTTTCTATGTGAATATATTTTGAAATGTATTTTATTCCTGTGAAAATTCAGCATCATTACTCCAGTCTTCAGTGTCACATGACCCTTCAGAAATCACTCTAATATGATGATTTGATGCTCAAGAAACATTTATGATTATTATCAGTGTTGAAAACCGTTGTGCTGCTTCATATTTTTGTGGAAACTGATACATTTTTTCAGGATTATTTGATGAATGTAGAGTATTCATTAGTAACAGCATTCATTAGAAATATACATTTGATCAATTGAATTCTTGCTGAATAAAAGTAGTAATTTCTTGCAACAAAAAAAAAAAGGTACTGACTGTAAAATGGAGAAAGTTTATTCAAAATGATGAATACAAATATTTAACATATAATTTGGCATAACATGCATTGATGAATCATTCACAGTAAGACCAGGAACGAGTGCTACGTAAATGAGGGCAGTTTTGGTTTCATTCTGACTTTGAATACGTAGGTTTAGAGATCTGTTAAAATCCCTGACTATGAGCAATAGTAGTAGTGACGTATGACTTAGCAAACCCCACTAATACAGACATGACCGCGCTCAACTGGCATTCAGAGAGAATAGAGAGAAGAAGGGCATTATGGGAGTTGTGCTGACACCCTCTGATGGTGAATACAGTCGCGGCCCCTGTTGTCAGATGACAAGCCCTTCAGAACCCAGAGCCATTCCCTCAGAGTGACCTGTCTCTCTCTCTCTCTCTGTCTGCCTGGGTGTCTCTCGCTCTCTCTTTCTCTCTCTCTCTGTCTGCCTCGATGTCTCTCGCTCTCCTGGAAGAGGCTGTGGTAATTAGCAGGGCTCTAATGAGACAGAATGTCAGTGATCTGCCGCAGTACAGGGGGGCAGGCGATAGGCCGGTGTGTGTGTGTGTGTGTGTGTGTGTGTGTGAAGGGGGGTAGAGGAGGCTGTGCCATCTGTCACTGAGCGCCTGGCTCGCTGCTCTCGAGGGGGGCAACAGTGGGTCGCGAAAAAGAGAGAGAGAGATATTAAAATGTGCAGGATAGACCGTGTATATCAATACAAAATTGTAATTGTAATTTTAGCTGGTGGTTGCCCGATATATCGTCCGTTTGCAGATATCTGGCTATTTTGAGATCATAACCATGGCTTAACAGATTCGGTGTGTCCCCCTCATGCTATTTTCACTGCTTTGCCAACATAATAACCTCAGCATTTAT